CATCGGCGACGGCTGCACCGGCCTGGGCACGGTGGTGCACGAGTTCGGCCACGCCATGGGCCTGTCGCACCAGCAGTCACGCATCGACCGCGACAACTACGTCACCATCCTCTTCGACAATATCCTGGAAGGAAAGGAGGGCAACTTCAACAAGCGGTCCACGTCCAACAACTACTCAGTGCCGTACGACCTGACCTCTGTCATGCACTACGGTTCCAGATACTTCACCTCCAACGGCGAGGACACCATCCGCGTCAACAACTTCCTGTACACTGGCCTAATCGGCCGCCGTGGGGGCCTGTCGCACCGCGACAAGCAGATCGCCAACGCCATGTACAACTGCGCCGCCGGCTGCTCCAGTCCGCCCACCTGCCAGAACGGCGGCTTCGTAAGCAAAAGCTGCACGTGCGTCTGCCCGCCCAACACCTCCGGTGCCAACTGCGAGACCCTCAACGGCAGCTACTACGGTGACATCGACTGCGGCGACATCAACATGGCGCAGCCGGGTACCATCACCACGCCCAACTACCCCGAGAACTTCCCCAAGAACGTCGTCTGCTGGTGGGTCATCAACGCGCCGGCCGGCCAGCAGATCAAGGTCACCGTCACCGACATGAAGATGCTGTACCGCTCCAACGGCAACTGCTACTGGGACTTCCTCGCTATGCGCTACTCGGGCAACGACTTCGTTAACGACCAGAAGGCGTGCGACGCAGAGCTGCAGGGACAGAGCTTCACCTCCACCGGCAATCGTTTCATTGTCCAGTTCAAGTCGGGCAACTATGGCTGGTACAAAGGCTTTTCGGCCAACGTCGAGTTCCTCTCCGCCTGAGCACGGTTGACACGACACTGTCGCGGAGAGTAAGGCACCCACTAAAACCAGCGGATCCACGAAGCAATGAGTGAACGCGTATTCCCCTTGCCGAACTATCCTTTTGTCTGTCAAAAAAAAAGTGTGTATGTGTGTGTTAAATACATTTTGCCATCTCACTCACTACGGCGTTGGGTCGCTGTATTGCCCGGAATCAGCAATAATTTTGCTGACTCGGGTACGCATTTGCCAAAACGGGGGTACATCTACACAGCGTGCATACCGTGAATATAATAAGTACGGCACTTTATAAGTTGAGCCCTGGAGTGACCAAGGCATGATGTCGATATTTCCCGTGCCGCTACCACGCTCACCCGCCGCCGTCCCTCCGCTGCAGTGTGACAGCGCCGGGGACATTGTGTACGAGTTCCCCTGCCACAACCGCGGCGCCGAGCCGGAGGGACTGTGGGCGCCGCCCGGCCCGGACGGACCCCGACTCTGCTACGGAGGGGTGCTGCTGCGACCCCCGGACGGTACCGAACTTCTCATGTCACCCCTGCTGCCGCGACTGCAGGTACGCACAGCGAGAGGACGGGTACAGACAAGTGGTGTTCTTCAGTTGTAGGATTTCAGGTTTGTGACTTTTGTCGTGAAAAGCATCGAAAGCGTCCCTTTGTCTTGCACTCATGATCAACTTGTTTATGACAGGTTACTGATATGTGATCGGAAACTGGTTGCTTATTTGTTTGTGTCTAATCTGACAGTTATATGTTAGATGCTTCGCTCATATTGCCCAACTGATCCCCGATATTCCCTGTAAGCTCCTCTCCTCTCCATCAGTATTTGACCTCTCAGATAAGCTCGCGCTGAATGTCCCGCCAGCTCACTGCCGCTCCTCCCCTCCCCTCCGCCTCAGGTCCAGCTGCGTCACCTGGTACAGGAGTACTCGGCCGGGGAGGCGGAGCTGCGGCAGTGGTGGGCCGGGTCCCGGCTCATCACCGGCGGCATTGAGACCGTGCTGACCGCGTCCCCCGACGGCCGTCACCTGGAGCTGAGACTCAGGGGACCGGCAGATGCAGCCGCCGCCTGCTTCTATCTCATGGAGGACGTACTGACGGCGCTGGAGCAGGTATTTAGCGTCGCTGTGGTAGAAAACTTTTTCATCCGTAAATAAATGCTGACAATTTGAATACTTGCAAAGTACGGATGATGGGATGCGATTGAATGTTCATGACATTTATACTAAATGATTCATTACTTTACGTTCGTTCCAATCAGTTTTCTCAATTCCAATTCTTCCCCTGCATCCCACCTAATGCATTGCGGCTCTGGCTGTTTCAGGTGATGCTCCAGGTGTACCCCGGTGTGCCGATCGAGCGCCACTACCTGTACCCCTGCGACCTGGAGCGTCACATCGACCGGTGCCGCTCAGTGCCACCGTCAGATCTGGTCGCCAGTCTTCTAGCGCGCGGTCCCGCATCTCCTGTCAGTTTGGACGTATCTTCTATCCACTCCTCAGACTACTCCTCAGCTCCCTCCTCGGTGGATGCCTCGGCTCTCTCTCCGGCCGATCCCTCGGCTCTCGCCCCAGACTCCTCTGTCTGCGTCAACTCCCCGTCTCCCCTGGAGCTCGTGTGTTTCAGCTGCGCGCCGATGTCGGACCGACTCCGCTGGCCGGCCCAGCTGCCGGTAGCCTGTCTGGGAGTGGCCGGCCGGCGCGTGTTGTGCGCCGCGCTCGACCCGGCCGACCGGCTCGGCCGCGACTGGTGTCTGCTGGCCGTTCAGCTTGGGCTGACAGAGCGGCTAGCGCGGCTCGACGCCGGAGATAACCCGGCCGTGAGCCGGACGGCGCGGCTGCTGCACGAGCTCGGCAGACTGCCGCTGGCCCGGCTGCACGCGGCGCTGGTCGACATCGGCCGGGGGGACGCGGCCGAGCGGCTGGCGGCCGCCGCGCCGCTCTACCGCCTGCGGCTCGGCTCCGGCGGCGGCGGGCCCTCTGAGACGGTGACGGTGCGGCCGCCCTCCGGCTCGGCGGCCAGCTCGTCCACCGTCAGCCGCTGAGCGACTCAAAGATTTAAAAACCGGTGGACGCTGACAGCCGATCCAGGCTATAGGAACTAGGGAGTCGGTCAGAGAGGGTCATTCACAGAACTCTGCTAAACCACGTCCTTAGTGGAAGTCGTAATGTGTAAACGGCGGCGCCAGCGGCACTGCAGTCATACCTAGTCGATGTGATACGATGTGTTGTATGAGATGGAATTTGTCGTGGGCTGAAATCACCAACAGGCAGAAGCGTATAAGACCAACAAACATGGACTTTTTCGGCATTCGCCCGTAATATGTCGTTGTGTTGGACGATGCCATCTCATCGCCACCAATCTACTAAAATGGTGGCCCCCACTTGTGATAACGGTGCTATGTCGGTTATGTGCGAGTGCAACATTCCTGTGGCTTTCGATGCGATGTGTCATTTATTCGAGTCATTTATATCGGTGCTCGACATGAAGGGAAGGTTGTGATAGGACTGTAACGTCTTGAAGACGGGAAAATATGCGACAACGTGGGCATGTGGAGGCCTTAGAAGCCAATGTCCGTGTAAACTAATGTTATATGTCTCATTTTCTTCAGAGAGGATAAATAAATATGGAGTGCGAATATCAATTGATCTATGCATTGAAGACATGCATCTGGCTTTATTGGAGTCTGATCATTTATCTCTTCGAATCTAAAAAGAACTGTTTGCTTGTCCATTTTTAGTGCTGGGGAGGATAACTTTAACATTACATTTGAATATAGGTAATCTCTTGAATTCCCAGATAGCATGTAGTTCTTGACGAACAATCTCAACAGTCCTGGGTGTCAGCACCGGGCAATGGGTCAAAGACCAGTCGCCAATGAGCCGAGCTCAGTCTTAGCGCGATTGCACGGGGTACACAGGCGAAATACTGCACCCTCGACTTCAATTTCCTTGCCATGGCACGAACGAGGAAGAAACAGTTGCAGACCAAAGGCCAACATTCCTTCTCGAATCCTCGTGCACGGCGCCGCCATGAGAGATAGCAGTTTTCGGAAGATATACTTATTAGAATTGGTCCCCGTCTGATCGGACCCGTGCACACCACTCACCCGTCCGATGACTGATGTGTTGACGATGTGACGAGTCCCGTTTGACAGCCCCATGGTGCGGTAATAGAACCAGACCTTCGGTCTCGCCTCTGCTGCGCTATCTGAAACGCACGGGACATTAATCAGCAATGGGTTCCGTCCGAGCCGGTCCCACGACCCAATGGTGACTAGGACCCACCTAAGAGCTAAGCCCTTGTTTGGGGATTTCTTGGAAGCGGGGTCCGTCCGACAGGACCCCTTTGTACAGTCTGTCTTAAAAGTACCGCGCAAAGTGACGGTGGATCCATCAAGCCTGACCGATGAAGGACTGCCAAATTTGAGTCACCGAAGCAATGGACATCCTCGTCCATTCCCCAGCTCCATTGGTTCGGTGACTTTCAAATTATAGCAGGCCCTTCCTCGGTCAGGCTTGATGGATCCACCGTCACTTTGCGCGGTACTTTTAAGACAGACTGTACAGTCTGTCTTAAAAGTACCGCGCAAAGTGACGGTGGATCCATCAAGCCTGACAGAGAAAGGGCCTGTTTTAATTTAAAAGTCACCGACCAACTGACCTAGGGAATGGACAAGGATGTCTATTGCTTTGGTGACCCAAATTTAGCAGGCCCTTGCTCAGTCAGGCTCGATGGATCCACCGTCACTTTGCGCGGTACTTTTAAGACAGACTGTACAGTACAGGCATTTTTCAGAGCCAGCCTCAGTCCGACCGGACACGGCTCTGGGTCGATCAATTGTAACCGAGAGGGTTGCCCGACTATACGCCTCAGACAGGTCATTTCAAGGGTTCCAGGCGGGGCTGACCCCTTTTGCCCCCTCTTCCCCCTGTTGCGCCACTGCAGTCATCTGACATTCTCAATAAATAGTATTTATCAAAAGGAAAAGCTGCATTTTCGATGCTATCATTAAAGAGTATGCAAATTGCAAGGTGCATTTATAGTCACCGTGGCAAGGTGAAAATGTACAGATGATCAGAAAGGAGTTCTATACCATGATCAGAACAGAGTGGAAAATGGGCTGATGACGCAACTATTCCCTAATTGCTGCCAAATGCTTCGTGCGTGATGCCAAAGAAATACCAAACCTTGATGCCCATCGTCAAAACAAAACCGCGTGGGTGCGCTGCGTGTGTGAAAGTGTGAGAGCGAATCGTGGGTTTTAATTGACTGTAAATAACTCCTGTTTGAATTGCATAGACTTTTTGCAGTGTGAAGACATCACATATCTTCTTACACGTCAATAAACAAAAAATGGGCAAGAAAAAGGGTAAAGGGAAAGAACCAAAGCTTGAGCTAGTTTTCAACGAGAAGGATCGAAGGTGAGTGAATGGCGATCAAAACATTGAGACCATTATTTATTTTTGGATATCTTTTTAATATTGCTTAGTGTATGTCTAGGTATCATGGCATTTAATTCGAAGCAATTCATGGTGCCTGATGAAATGGATGCACAACAATCAGGACCCCGGCAACACAAGGAATTAATGTTTTTGTCAGAAATTATGCCAATGTCAGTTGCAAAAGTTATGCAAAAATTATGCCCATTTTTAACCTTTTCAATGATTCTATATTTGACCTAAACATTGATGAATGCACAAATACAACACCAAAAGTTTAAAGTCCATTTTCTTGTAAATTGTGGGGCTCCCTTAGTTAAGCTAGTACAACAAACTATATTATATTGTTATAAACTGTAGTATACAATTACAAATTGTAATGCCCAATGTCGGTAAGCACTTATCATTACTTTATTCAAAGAATGTTGGATATTCTGGAACTCAGATAATGACTAGTCAGAAGCCAGGAGGAGGAATGATGCTGAGGGAAACAAAACATAACAACTGTGTCCTTTGTGTCACATTCCCAGGGATTATCTTACTGGATTCAAGAAGAGGAAACAGGAGAGACGTGAAACTGCTGCCAAGAAGTTTGATAAGCGATTCAAACAAGAGAAAAATCGTATCAGACAGGAGGTTGGTTCACTTTGAAGAAATGCCTGGCCTTACTGAATTTTAGTTATTCTCTCATTAAAATTATACTTTCTGGTGCATTGGATAGTAAGTTAAAATAAATAAAAGCTTTTGGAAAAGGTAATTATATTGTCATTGACCTTTTGGGATAGCACGCACATTGATACAGCATGCACATTGATAACCACTGGCATGGCAACAGGCCACTCAAGCCAGTCTTTGCATGTGGCTATCCAAAATATTTTGTTACAGAAACGCAGCAAGCTACCGACACATGGGCCGACGGTGCTTCCCGACAACATGCTGATCTCGGAGGACGTGGAGCCCGCGGCAGTGACCCACGATCTGGAGAAGCACACCGTCAGTGTGACGACAATCTCCGACCTGGACCTCACCGCCGGCGGACTCTTCCTTGGCAAGAACGCGGTACGTGTTTCGCCACTGCTGCCTTGACATGGCAGATAACTTGCCTAGAGGTCAGATGTGCACATTACGAAATAAGCGTAAAGCGGGGCTGACTAGACAATGTCATCAGTGATGGCAATGCGCGGCGGTGAGAGTCGGCAAGAACGAATCTGGATGTTCTTTAACTGATTCCAGTGTTCACATAAGAAAGGATTATGACTGGGGACGGTGGCGGGTTTTATCCTTTTCATGCGGACGTGATCCGGCGTCCGGTGAGCATGTGATTCACAACCAATTCTGTAGTTTCTTTCATCTGATAATCGATTAATTGTCTGCAAGCCTAGCACTACAGTAACACTTGGCAACGGGCAAAAAGGTAATGGATAGTTGACCGGGATTCTTTCACTTACAGTTGCCAGCGGCGTCCCAGGACGAGGAAGAGGAGGATCAGCCAGAACCGGAGAAAGATGATGAGGTGCTGGGGATGGAACTGAAGGCGACGCCGGCCCCCAAGGCAGCTGAGAAGCCGGTCTCACAACGATCGCGGCAGAACATCCTGGAGACCAAGGCCCGTCTGCAAGAGAAAAAGAACAAGCAGAAGAGCAAAAACCTCCAGAAGCACAAAGCGAGGATCAACAAAAAGCACATGAAGCTCAGCCATCAGCTAAAGAAACAGAGACGGAAAGGCTCAGCCGCATAGAGAACGTTTTTCTAAATGCTATCCAAATTGTTCTTTTCTTGTAAATATATCAACACATCACACTCCCACGGTTTCATTTCTTCGCCAGCTAGTATCTGTTCGGTAGATTAGATACATTAAAGGAGAATTTGTACCAATACATGAAACATTTTATTTACTTTTGTACCAAGTGACTAGAAATGGTGCAAAATGGAAAGACCACACCGACGCTCAATAGGTTACAAGCAAACACCTATCGCGGGTGTCAACAGCCGACGGACGGATCTTTTGCTCTTCTGAGCACATCATCAAACTACAAGCTATGCACATTTCTGCGATCACAGTTGTGCAAAGATGACTAGAAACCGTGCAAACTGGAATGACGAACAGTCATTGAGAGACACGATCACCGCGAACACAGACATTGAGATCAGTGTGGTGGAAGCCTTTCAGCGAGCCTTTCCATGGAAGCTGCGATGCATAGCAGCCGTCGCTATCGCATACATTTCAGGCAGTGTGCCAACTGGCAACTGCCCAGTCCTGCTTGGTGCCGCAATATTCCGTGGCTGCCACTTTTTTAATGAACTAACGTTATCCACATTTGTGTTAACTACGCTAGTCGATTCGCAAGCACGATGCAGCAACTTTTGAGTCCATGAAAAAAAAATACCAGAAATACCAGAGGGATTCTTTCAAGTTGACTATCATATTTTCAGCAGGCAGTCATACCGTGATATCCTTCCTCAGGCTCAATAGCAATGAGAACCGATAGCATAATAGTGCTTTTCAGCCTCCAATATCGCTACACCAAGCCGGTCACCGGTGGAAACCCTGGCGTCACAGTTCGTCCTCCGGGTGTTCCTCTTCCGTCGGTTCCGCCGCGGCCGCCACCGACTCTCGCCGGGCGCCGCCAGACCTCCTCCGCGGAGGTGCCGAGGCGTCAAAATAGTTGCGGAAGGCGCTGTGCAACATGGCCGCTCTCTGCAGCTCATCCTGCCTGCAGACACAGAGAAAATGTTGGGTAATGTTCGGGTTAGAGAGAGCTGGATGACATGTCATACAGTGGTGCAGACGTGGAAGAAATTATACAGCAATGGCTTCACCATGACGAGGATGATGGTGCACTTTCGAAGCATGACTGAACGTAGTTGAACAATTACTATCTAGAGCGCCATGGTCAATTCAATTTCTGTTTGTCAACGTTAGCGCCTTGAACAACTCAAGCTGGTCCTATACGCACTTGTGCCTTATCATTTCGGTTTCGCGTCGCTTCAGCTCGTCGCGCAGTTTCCGGACCTCCTCGCGTCGCCGTCGGGTCTCCCGTTCCAGCTCCTCTTCGCGCTGCGCCAGCTGAGTGCGCGTCTGAAGTGAGGCATGTTGGTCAAGATATGGGGGACGAAGTTCGGGGCAAGTTGGCCTGGCTCTCAGGCTGAAATGGATACACAGAAGGAATCAGTAAATGCCAGATCCTACCGCGATGTTAAGTGGAACTATGTAATAGCTGACCTTTAATTGCTCATAGTTGCGATACCCTCAATAAGATTTTAGCAGATATTCGACGTTCAAAGTAATCGTGCTTTATCAGCAAACGCCAAAGTTTTATAAAATCCAACAGAAACCTCTAGATCAGAGCGTATGCACACATAACCCATCTCTTTGAGATCTGTACTCAACACGACCGTCCGGACCAACCTCTGCCAGGGCCGCCTCGGTCTGCTGGTGCCGGGTCTTCTCGGCCTCGACCCTGTCCAGTTCGGTCTGTAGGTCGGAGCGCACCCGCGCCACGGCCGTCTGCACCTCGCGCTGCTTCAGCTCCAGCTCCTGTCGGTGAAACTCAGTGGGTCAAAGCCCATCTTCCTTATTGATCGAGCCCTAAAGGTGTGCCGACTACTAAAGGGTCATCTGCGCTAATCAGAGCCAGTCTATGATCGATGCCGTTAAATGACTTGTTTCCTTTTTACGTTTGGTTGGCTCAAATGACGTGAGTTTTACACTTGCTGGAAGTTAATGAGGCCTTCCCAAAATTTACAAACAAGCTAGGTGAGCCGTTTGTCTGTTGAGACTCAGTCGCATGATTCAGCGCCTGACTAGACAAAGTCGGATACCCAGGGAAGTTCACCTATCCATGTCGACTGTTGCCATACCTTCATCAAGCACTCGATCTCGGACTTGCTGGAACGATTCTCCAGCTCTGCCTGACGGAGTTTGTCCTGCAGTCTTTGATTGGTGGTTACCAGCTCGTGTTTCTCCTGACTGACCAATGAGAGCTGGCCGTGGGCGTGGTCAATCTGCGCCTGCAGCGCCTGGCATCGGTCATTCTGTGGACCGGGTAGTGAAGTTTGATGAGTGAGCTTCTGGGATTTGTTATTTTTATTTACATTGATAACCGGCTACAACGGGGGAGATGGGGATGGGACGGCGGTAATTTCGTTACTTTTCTTCCCTAGCAGTTCTCTCACTAGAAAGTAGAAACGCCTAACGAAACTAAAACATCACATTACAGCCAAACAAACTGGTACAAATTGGAAGATATGAAGACATACCCATGTCTTCAACTTTGATCCAGTAATAAAATAACACGACAAGTGGGCATCCTTGCATTCCTCCGACTCACCTCTTGTTGTTTGAGTCTCAGTCGGAGTGCAGCCAGCTCGTCCTGAGTCTCGCGGGATGCCGCGTACAGCCTCTGAGACGCTTCCTGTAGCTGCGACTCGAGCGCCGCCCGCTGCTCGTCGCCCAGCCGCAGCTGGTTCTGAAGGGAGAGATACAGAACATGAAATATGGACGCAATGCCGGGACTGTGAGCCGGGCGAGTGACATGTTAACAACAGAAATGACCATATTCAGGACGAAGAACAGCTGAGCAGCGCAGAGCAGAGGCATAACCATTTGCCGGTCGTGCGCAGTTGTTCAATTGTGGCATTGGAAGATCACGGCTGTAAACAACCAACAAGCGTGGTTGAGCCGATCCCGCCATCCATTCGATCAGCACGAGAAAATTAGGTGTCATTCTGTAAGGACGGCGTATGAAGGTGCAGCCTGCGACTGTAGGTGACCTCTCACCTGCAAGTTTTTACAGGTGACGGCCGCCTGCTCTTTGACCTGAGCCACCTCCTTTCGGCGGATTTCGTCGGCAGCCTCCGCCTCAGCGCGGCGGCGCTGTTCCTCGCGATCATAGACGGCTGTAAAGCGATGCAAGAGGTCAGGATATGTCACTGAGCGCATCGATGACGATTAGATCGTTAGCTGCTACTCAATGACACCGGACAGCTACCTTAGGACATCACAGGTCGACACTGGAAACATCCGTCCAAGGGTCGGCACAAGTCTCTAATGTCAGACCAACTGGCTGAGCACAAAATTCGCCCTCAGGTGCGTACATCGTTAGGGGTTTGTGCATTAGGAGTCTTCCCGATACCCTAACTACTCACGGCTACCTCCTTTGCACACCTCAGTCAAGATCCCTCAGGGCAAAGCTCACAGGTAGCGTCCCATTCAAGCACCACCAAACTGCCGTCATTCTTACATATCCAACTGTGGCGCCGTCCCTCACCCACCCTGTATCTCGTCCCTGAGTGTGCCGACAGTGGCCTGGAGCCGGAGCGTCTCCTGCTGGAGCTGCTCGGCCATGGAGCGCTGCTCCTGCGCGGCACGCTCCGCCTCCAGCCGGCCGCGCCGCTCCTCGGTCAGGCGCCGCTCCTGGTCGGCCGAGCGCTCCTCCTGCTCCTGACGGCTTCGCTCCAGCACCTGAGGGCAGAGCCGCCGGAGCGGTGAGATCGTGACAGCCGTGGACGCAGGACGGAAACGGAGGAATGTTTGATGGAAGATAAGGTGATTGTGATGAGATTGGTGGAAGATGAGGGAACGCTTGACGCTTAAAGGGAGTTGAGGCGATACGGCATGGTTGAAGATATCGCCATGACTCAGGGCAGCTGCTCAGTTCGGTATCCTCGAAAACATGCCATGAGGCAACGTTCATTAAACGTTACCTGCTTGTGGTGTTCGAGCTGTTTCGAGTTGGCCTTCTTTTGAGCAGCCAGTTCAGCCTGCAAGGTCTTCACTTGCTCCTGGAGTTCAGTTCTGCCAGCATAATGATGTTACAGATAATGATTGTTTGACATGGTTGTAATAAGACTGATAACCTGACCAAAGTGCGACATTCGTTGGTATGCAAGGAAATCTGGCAAACACCAAGGTAGATGAAAGTGGACATCCCGGCTTTTTATGGCAATCATGAACACGAATCTCCTTTCAAACGCCAGTGTTCTGACACAAAGTGGAATAAATTTGCTATCTTCGCAACCTCAGAAAAAAAAAAACTTTTTATTATCTCCAAAGAGATCACGTACTGTCTCTGTGACAACTTACTTGTCCTGTTGCGCTGCGGTTAGCGCCGCCTGTGTATTGGCCAGGGACGCCTCCGCGGCGGAGAGTTTGGACGCCAGCCGCTCTGCCGCCTCCTTCCTCTCGTCAAGGGCCTCCTGAAGCTGGCCCAACTGAAAGTTCATGTCCCTGCAACATGTGCGCGGGACAATGTCCAAACGGGGCTTTTAGTCGAGGGTTATCGGTGGCTGTTATCGGAATACACCAAAAAATCGGTAAGGGAGCTATGTATGTAGAATTAGATACATCGTTGGATCGACTGCATAGCATCCAACATTCATGGTATGCGGGTGACTCTCCATTACACACATTGGTATGTGATGCAGACCCATCAGACGCCCATGACCATTAGCACTCTATCGTCTATCAGTCGGTTGGAGAACCGGCCTGAAGTTCGGAGAAGTCCGCTACTTACGCCTGCAGTCCAGAGAAGGACGCTCGCTCTGTCTGCAGGGTCCTCACGACGCCCTCGACCTCCCGGCGCCCCGCCCGCTCTGTATCCTGTGGAAAGACACAGCATACTTAGACCACAGCTAATAACCGTCCTCACGACGCCCTCGACCTCCCGGGCCCGGCCTGCTCAATGTCCTGTGACAAAACAACAGTTAATACCGTCGCTAATTATTTGTGACGCCACGCCACTATTTCACCGAGCTACAGCAAACACCGACCGAACTGCTCTTTACATCTCAACAAATAT